ACTGAACACGCCCCCGGGGACCCCCACCTTAGGGACCCCCACTTAGGTACCCCCCCGGGGACGCCCCGCACTCACAGGTCAAACACGAGGTAGTGGAAGCCCTCCTCCGAGATGCTGTCGTGGAGCCGCACTGCGGGGACAGGGACAGGCTGAGGGGACAGCAGGTGGCACCCAACACCCCCCACGTGCCGCCCAGCAGCCCCTATATGTCACCCAGCGGGTGGCACCCAGTGAGTCCCCCAGCAGCACCCAGCATGCCCTCAGTATCCCCAGAGTGTCCCCATGGCACCCAGCAGCACTTGGGTGTCCTCACATGTCACCCAGCACTTCCTCAGGTGGCACCTAATGTGTCACCAAGTGCCACCAGGTGTCACCCCATACGTTCCCAGCTGTCCCCAAGCTGGTGTCCGTAAGTGCCACCCAGCAGCACCCAGGTGCCACCTGGCCTGTCCCCACGTGCCACCCACGTGCCAACCAGCTGACCCGAGTGCCACCCTGGTGACCACAAGTGTCATCCAGCAGTCCCCAGTTGCTGCCCCCCACCACCAGGTGCAACCTGGTGTCCCCAGTAGCACCCCCAGGTGCCACCCGGCCTGCCCAGAAGTGTCACCCAGGTGCCACTCAGCTATTCCAAGTGCCACTTGTTTCTCTAAGTACCACCCAGTAGCACCCAGGTGTCACCTCACACCTCCAGGTGCCACCTGGTGTCCCCAGCAGCACCCCCAGGTGCCACCCTGTGCCACCCAGCTGTCCCCAGGCGCCACCTGGTGTCCATAAGTGTCACCCAGCAGCACCCAGATGCCACCCAGCCTGTCCTCAAGTGTCACCCAGGTGCCACCTTGTGTCCACAAAACCCCCCAGCAGTACCCAGGTGCCACCTGGCCTGTTCCCAAGTGTCACCCAGGTGCCACCCTGGTGTCCATAAGTGCCACCCAGCAGTACCCAGGTGCCACCCTACAACTCCAGGTGCCACCCAATTGTCCCCAGGCACCACTTGATATCCATAAATGCTACCCAGCAGTACTCAGGTGCCACTCAGCATGTTCCCAAGTGTCATCCAGGTGCCACCCAGGTGTCCATAACTGCCACTCCTCAGCACTGAGGTGCCACCCCACACCCCCAGTTGCCAGCCAGCCGTCCCCAGGCACCACCTGATGTCCCCAGCAGCACCAAGTTTCTACCTTACACCCTTAGGTGCCACCCAGTTGTCCCCAGGTGCCACCTGGTGTCCATAAATGCCACCCAAGCTGCACACAGATGTCACCCAGCCTGTCTCCAAGCGTCACCCAGGTGCCACCCAGCTGTTCCCTCACTGTCACTGCCCCCAGCCTAAGTGCCACCCTATTGTCCGTAAGTGTCACCCAGCTGTCCCCAGGCGCCACCTGGTGTCCATAAGTGTCACCCAGCAGCACCCAGCTGCCACCCAGCCTGTCCTCAAGTGTCACCCAGGTGCCACCCAGCTGCCCCCAGATCCCACCCAGCTGCCCCCAGGTGCTACCCCAACGCCACCCAACTGTCCCCATGCTATCCATAGCACTGTCACTTGCTATCCATAAATGCCACCTAGCAGTACCCAGGTGCCACCTGGCCTGTCCCCAGTTGCCACCCAGGTGTCACTCTGTAGCACCGAGGTGCCACTTCCACCCCCAGGTGCCACCCAGCTGTCCCCCAGTTGCCCATAACTGTCACCCAGCAGCATCCAGGTGCCACCCCACACCCCCAGGTGTCCCCAAATGCCACCCAGCCATCCCCACCCTGCTCACCGATGTTGGAGTGTTTCAGGAGCCGGCAGATGCGTGCCTCCCTCTCCAGCTTCTGGTGGTCTGGGCACAGTGAGAGCCACCGCCGTCACCTCACTGTCACTGCCCCCAGCCCAACCCTCAGCCCCCCTCCACTGCTCACACACAGTGCACACACAGTGCACACACACGCACACACACCCAGGGGCACAGTGGGGCAGCAGGATGGGACCAGGATGGGACAGCCCCGTGGGGCAGCAGCAGTGTCACAGCACAGGGGATGTGGGGCTGGGGGGGCCGTGGGGGGCCGTACCTCTGGCTGAGAGCTTCTTGGTGTTGATGATCTTGGCAGCGTACTCATGGCCGGTGCACAGCTTGACGCAGCGCCGGACCACCGAGAAAGCCCCCCTGGGGACAACGGGGACGCGCTCAGTGTCACCACCCCCCTCCCCCAGCACGGCCCCCCCAGTACCCCGACCCCCTCCCCATGACTCAGCACCCGCGGTCGTGACTCAGCGCAGGGTGAACCCCAGTACCTGGGGGGGAGGAGGGCGGGGGGACACCCCGAACGCCCCCAAGCTATGGGGATTTGGGGAGGGGGGGGTGGCACAGTGTGGTGACAGTGTGAGGAGCGGGTGGCACGGTGGGGGGGTCGCGGCGGCGTGGGCAGCAGCCGGCACCCGCAGCACGTTGCCATGGGGACGGCGGAGGCCCGGATGGTGGTGGGGGTGGGCGCAGGGATAGCGGCCCCCCCAGGATTGGGGACAGCAATGCGGCCACCAACACCAGTGCCACCGCTCCCCCCACGGCACTGCTCAAGCTGTCCGTCCGTCCCCCCCCCACCCCCAAGCCAGGACAAGTGTCCCCACCCGGCGGCACCGTGCTCTGAATGGGGGTCACAGCCTTCTGGGGGGGGGGGGGGGGCGACACCCAAAGGGATCACAGTCCCCACTGCTGTGTCCTCACTGTGCCCCCCCTCGCACACACGGGGGGGCCCCCAAGGCCCTGTCACCACTGGGAGCCCCCCAGGGCCTGACCCCCCCCACACACACCTGAGGGACGCAGGAGGTGACAGGGATAGCTGTACTCCCCCCCGCCCAGTGCCTCAGTTTCTCCACGGGGGGGCTGCAGGGCTGGGGGGGGATGCGTGGCGCTGGCGGTGACACTGAGATGGGGAGGCAGCCCCGTTACCATGGCAACCAGGGATGGCTGCGGGTTGGGGATGGAGAGGCAGTACAGACCCCCCCCCCCCCAGTACCTCCAAGGGACCCCCCAAAATGAACCACCTGTACCGGGGGTCCAAAAGGCCTGGGGGGGGGGTCTAAGGGATGAGGGGGGTGGTCTTTAAGAATTGGGGTCCCTAAGGATTGGGGAAGGTCCAAGGGTGTTCAGAAAGGGGGGGTCTCAAAGGGTCTCAGGACCTTTTTAAGGACTGGGGGGGCCCCAAAAGGGTTGGCCCTGTATGGATCAGGGGGGCTGTGGGGAGTTATATAAGGCCCAGGAGAGGATGGGGGGGGCTGAAGGGGAGATAAGGTCTGGGGAGGGGGGTCTACAGAGATCTGAGGGGGTCTGTAAGGATGACAGCTGCAAAATGGGGGGTGGAGGACAAGGGGAACAGGGCAGGGAAGGGCAGGGAGCTGTAGGATCCAGGGGGGGCTGCAGGGAATGGGGGGAGCATGGGATCTGGGGGTGTTTATAGGGAATTGACGGGGTACAGGGAACAGGAGTTACATGATCCTGGACTGTAGGACTGGGGGGGCTGTGAGCATTAGGGGGGAGCTGGAAGGAGTGGGGAGACTTGAAGGGGGGGGCTTTATGGGAACCTAGGGGCTATAAGGACTGGGGGGGCTCTGTAGGAACTGAAGGGTCTGGGAGGAATGGGGTCTATAGGAAGTGGGGAGTTTATGGTCCAGAGGGGTCTGTAGGAACCTGAGGGCTATAGGGACTGGGGGGGCCAGAGAGGGGTCTGCGGGGATGGGGGATCTGCAGAACGTGGGGGAGTTGTAAGGACTGGGAGGGTTATGGAAGTGGGGGGTTCAGGGCTTTGTAGGGCAGGGAATGGATGGGTCTGTGAGGCCGGGGGGGCACCTATAGGGCTGCGGGGGCTATCTGCACTGGGAGGGGCTATAGGGACTGAGAGGGCTAAAGGGGCTGTGGGGTGCTAGGAGAAATGGGGGGGGATTATGGGGGCTGTGGGGGCGATACGGGGACTGTAAGGACTGGGGTTAGGATAAGGGGGGTTATGGGGGCTGGGGGGGCTGCAAGGAGCAGGGAAGCTGTGGGGGGACTATGGGGACGGGGGGGCTATAGGGGCTACGGTGGGCTATGC